GACTACCATTGCGCTGCGACATTACCCTGTGCCTAAACCTTATATCGTGCTGGTTTTTGCCATTGCGAACCGCTTTGTTATATTTGTTTCTGAACTTGACGTCGGCTTGTCCGTTCTCCATAGTGGGGTTTTGTAAGAAGGTTCTGTGTGCCTTGATCTTCTGCTGCATGCAGTGTCACACGATTTGTTAAACCAGCCGTTGTACCCTGGTTTATACACTTTCACTGTGTGAGGGATGTATGTAGCTTCTCCCAGTCGGCATGTCCGTAATGCCAAGTTTTGCGGCCTGTACGAGTTTCTGCTGCCACAGCGGGTTGTGACCGAAACCTAACCTCCACAACACCGTGGTCTGAGTTACCCAGTGGGGACAGGACAGCAGTGCTGTAAGGGACGGGATGCGTGGTCAGAAAGAGATCCAGCTACTGGCTTTTGACGAGACGCGGAGGAAAAAAGTAGGGCTCGTCACCAGCTGGGTCCGCCTTTGAGTAAGAGCGAACGCTTCGACTTCACGACCTGTTGCATCGGTCTTGTTTGAGCCCAATCAAAGCTCATTATGGGCATTGAAATCGCCGAGAAGAACTACCTCGGGAGCGAGGTGATTGATGTTCAGGTAGTCAATCTGGAGGGTTATGGTCCGAGGAAGAGCGGCAGATAAATTTGGATGATGTTTTGGAGTTGAGGCGAAGCCACAGTATGTCCTTCAGGCCTGATTCTAAAGAGACATCTCTGGAGCAGGAAAAACTGCTGCGGACAAAAGCCACAGCTCCCCCGTTCTTCCTCGGATTGGAGTGCACCTCGTAGTTTGGGAAGTTAAGATGGTTAATCGGTGCAGACTCTGAGATTTTTGTTTCCGCCAATAAAAGGATGGCGGGACTATTGGATTGCAGGTAGTGATGAACAACATCAATGTTGCTGTTAATCCCGCAGATGTTCGAAAAACAAATTTTATGGTCGATGTTGTTTCCTCGAGCCAACCCTCCACCCGGACATTCCGAGAATGGAGTGAGTTTACATCCGGAGTTCTTAGTGCTCGATGGATCCATCAAAATTAATTTCTTTGTTTTAGAAGACAACCGACTGTATAGCTTAGGTATGGAAACATGCGGACATTTATAAGAAACCCTGGGAAAAGCTAGCGGCTGGTACCGCCTCGGTCGACTGGTCCTTGTCTACCACCTCATGTATCTCACTTCCAACAGTACTCTGCACCACTTTTCTGATAAATAACCTGACTATGGATCCCACGGACAGACAGTTCTCCAATAATATTGAAATCACGCACAGCAATGAACTTGGCCAATCTGTTTGCGACCAATTGCGCTGCGCTGGAAAATATGGAAAAGGTGTTAAGGGTATCGGGCAAGCCGTAAGTTACGTCGCTAAAGCCATTTCGAGGGAGCGCCTCGAGGGTATACAGTAAAAATCTTAGTATAAAAATCATGATTTATACCCCCGCAGTGCTGAAAATCCATGTATCCGTCCAGACGGGTAAGTAATGGTCGCTTTATATCATTCGCAGCGACCATTATCAATGCCGTTGCGTTCAATTTAGATGAATTTTCTCCACTTACCAAGATACCGATTACAACTCATAAATCTTTATTGTCTTGCTGAGATTAATCATTTCAATATGTACCTAACTGTCTTTTGATTCTTTTAATTTATGCAATATGGGAGCAAAGTTTGTTCGCAAGTCGTAGAGCTCACAACTTATTTTTTGGCAACAAAATAGGACTGCATTTTTCATATTGAGTGGTAGAATACAACTAGGACTGGGGTTTATTGCTCTCCATCTATATATGAATAATTAAAACAAATATATAACGTCTCTATTTTATTTATTTACTCAATTTTGTATGTGTGTTTTTACTCAAATTCTGTATGTCTCAAAAATTTAAGAGTCATTTTTAATAATTTTTGTAATTAGTTTTTAATTTTAAGTGAAGGAATATTTGAAAAAACGTCAATTCAAATTTGGACCCAATGTTCATATGATCAGCTTCTAGTGGCCGTATCGTCAGTCGTTCACACAATTGTCGAACGCTTTTATGGCTTCCTTGACTTTGATAGTATTTTCTTTCCTTTAGAAATATCTACTGTTTGTCAGCGTTCTCCTATAGTGAGGCTACGTTTTTTTTCTCGAATTGTAAGAAATTTCAGGCTGACATAACAGATAATATAAATCAAAAGCATGTACAATTTAATGCAAATTTATATCTGTAACATAACCTCAAAATAGAGCGCTGGCACGGACCAGTAGAAAACTATGAAAATCAAGGAGGCCATAAAGGCATCCTACAATTGTAGGCCCTAAATATTCCTATAAGTTTCTGCTCTACAAAAATTGAAGTAACATGAAAAAGACATAATTTTTCTTAAAAGCCCGTTCTGCTTATACGAGGTATATCAGGTCAAATTCACTGAAATTTTTAAGAGTATTTGAAGAGCAAAAATGCAAAAACCGATAAATCCCTTTTGAGAAAAACGGCAAAAGCCTCTAGAGAAAAATCCCCGTCAAATTTAAAACTTTTTGAAATTAGATTTTTCATGAAGATTTAGCGGCTTTTGCTCATATCTGCCTTCAAAAACGGATAGAGCATTTATAGGTTTTTGCTCTTCATTTGTTAAAAGTACCATTTTACTGATTGAATATAGAATCCAATATAATAAATGTTGAACGTTTTCCTGAAGATGATGAATTAACTTCTCAGCTGTGACTATACAGCAAATAAGCTCATCACCTAGACATATGACCACTTGTTTACCTAAAGATGTGTCATCCACCACATGAGAGTCTAGTATATGATCCACAATTTTAGAACTAGTCGTGAAACGCCCCTAGAGTTTTAAAGGCACAAAATGTTGGAGCAAATAAAATATGAAGAAAACTTTCAACTGCATATGAAATGGGAAACTAATTGTGTTTCACATAACGGCAGAGTTTCTGTCGCAGACTGGACAATTAACAGCGAACGGCAACTTTTTCAGGACTCTTTTTATGAGCATATATCTACATTTATGATGCTTGTAAATATCACACTCGTATATTGGAATACTAATTAAGCTATAATTTGACAAACGGAAAACCGGAAATGGTCAGACTAGATTTATAGAAACATTTTATTTATTTGCATAGTTTAGTGGATAAATTAATAAGTCTATGACACAAGAAAGCTCAGCGAATAGGATTTTTGTTATTAATTCTCTTTTGAAATCCATTCCGGTACTGTCTTAAGGATGTTTAAAGTTAAGAGCAAATTTTTCACTCGTTTGTATCAACGATGCCCACCAATGTGGAAATATTTCTTTGTATGTGACTACAGCAACAGCGATACTAATGGTGGACGGTGCAGCTGTGCAGAATCTTTGACGGAGAAGATGAAAGAATGCCGGAAGTGGAATGCTATCAGGACAAGAGGACAGTTCATTCAAACAAGCTGAATCGAAAACTTCTACCGTAAGGCCCCACATCTTACAGAAACTTCTTGAGCGTTAAATGACATTTTCAGGCTCATTAAAGGAAGAATATCCAGGCAAGATGAAGTAATACGAGTATATATACTAGCAATAGACATATGTTTACCTTGCCATCCCAGACACTATATTGTTAATTAACGAACGTCTACCAAGAAACCAAGTTTTTCATATTCTATACTTGTCGTTTGCTATAACTCACCTTTAGATTCGTGGCAACAAGACGTATTAATGTGTTGAGGCCAGTATACAGAAAATTTCATTTTAATGTGTTTCTCATTAATAAATATTCTAGTTATTGCTTATATCTTGTATAACTGATTGTGAATTAGTATGTCTAAACATCCTTATCGTTGATATGTTGCTGTTATAGATGTAAATATTTTGCTTAATAATTCCCTTAAATTCGGTGCTACAATAATATTATCCATCTACGAGGATCTAATGGATCTATACCGTATAATATCGAAATCCCTAAATTAACCACTAACACATTATACCTGAGGAGTGGAAAAGAATTGCAACGGAATTGATTAATATGTAGCAGTTTTGTCGGTTTCCCTGCTTGCTTAGGAGCATCTGATGGTAGGCACATGACATACAGAGCTCGGCTATTGCAAGAATCCTCCTACACATATACATTTTCTTTTTGATAATGCTTTCACCTGAGTCTGGTTAAGTATCACATGTAAACTAAAAATTATGTATCATTTATTTTCAATCATTTAAGGTGCGCTTTACACATTTGCTACGGATCACGTACTCGCATGCCAAACGAATATTGAAGCCACCAATCGTTTTCCGATCAGATGTGACGTCTATTTTTGTCCTCTGAATTCCTCAGTGAGCGTTTTACAGACATTTCTGCACCGTTATTTGGTTCCTTTTGCGATATAACATAATCGATATCGGCTTCCACACGAGCTGACAGCTTCGATGGCGTTGGTATTGCTGCCAATTGCCACAACCATATTAAAAAGCTGGCGGAGAACATTATATTAAGGTCGACAGTTGACCTTTTTATGCTTTTGCTGCTGCTATCGCAGTGCCAACGTCGTCGAGGCTGCCGCCGGATGAAATCGCAGGAATTGCAGAAAATGCCTTCCTGCTACCCTTATCGAAGAGGTTTGCGACAGACGGGTACATCAGTTGGATGTTGGGACTCAGAAGGTATTTTTCGGGACTCCAGTAAATATTGTCTTTATCATCTTGAGCACCATTGATTCGTTGTGTTAAGTAGTATTCAAGTGAACTGACGGACATGTGCTTTTTTGCATTTAAGCGATTTCAACATTCTATTAACACAAGCACCTCTTTGTGTGTCAAAACAGAATACAAGCCCTGCATAGGCCGTCGATCAGGAGAGACGTTGATTACGGATGGTTCGTTCACTTAAATTAGTATTTGTTTGACTGATGCTTATATTCAATATTTATCCAGTTAACTCTGAAGATATTATTTTTTCGTGGGCACCATTTTGGTGACAGATGGTGTATAACGGTACTTGTGATCTATTCAAAATTTTGTTAAGGACCCCTCTTTCCTCCGCTGGCCGGCCAATTGCCCTAGACAATTAACATCAAATAGATGGATCGCCGATTTTTCTTTGGTATCTTGCATTGGTCTTCATAAAGCAAACAATATGCCGTTGCAATGGACATATAGATCAGATAAAAGGCTTTCGCTTGAAATTTTTTCCTTGCACAATTCCATAGCATGTACACTTTGGATAAGCTTATTAAACTTGTTACCTTCAAGCTTTCGATTTAAGATACACGTATCTTAACTCTTAATACTATATCTTTCGAGTAAAAGATATGTGCGCTGTCGTACACAGATAAAGATTTCAACAGATGGAAACAAAGGTATATGTAAAAATTGCAAAAAAAAAAACAAATTCATTTCTACGCTGTTAATGCAGATACTGCATTTTATTTCGGATTGTGCACGTTGCTTTATGCATTATGTATGGTCTGTTTATTCACGTATACCTATGTGTTTTTAAATTCGCGAAATGTACGCATGCTTTTACTATTACCGCAAAAGGTATTTATTTGTGTATGCGAGACTCCTCGGCATGGCAGTTGTGAGGAAAAAACCCCTGCTACAAATGTTTGGTTTGTCATTCTCTAAAGATATCCACTCGATCTTAGCTTCTATCAGTAACCCATTTATACCTGGCTAATCTATGGAAGGAAGATATCAATCCACTTAATGAAAATATTAATTTCAAAATAAGAGACAGGAACTCATTGCAACTAAGGTTTGGTCAAGATGGTGAGATGGCTGTTCCATACACATTTATGCCCTATCTACCTCCTGGTAACATGAGGTTTAACCTCCTTCTCGGCCTAAGATTTACTGCTAAGCTAATATAAACAAATCAGCTAATGCTCGAAAATTGATGATTACGTGGTAAAGGACTAGGTGTCTCTGGTTGAAGTAATAAAGTAAAGGTACCATAGATTAGACCCACCTAAAGTAGGTTCTTGGTGTCACTGGATCTGTATTCTCTAAGAAACCAGCATTGCCAAGCTTAAATAGTAGCGCCGGTTTTTTCCACGCTGTAGTGAAGGGAACACTCCTACGCAGGTTATTTGAGAATGGCAAACATTTTGATTTCGAACTAAATCTTGGATTCTGCGGAGTATTACCATAAAGCTAATCAGCTAGGGGATAAGTTACATGCGAAAAGTGTGATTATATAAGATCAAAAACTATTCGTAAGACCTGTAGGTTATCCCCTAGCTGTTTAGCTGCTAAGGCACTATCCGGAAGATTACACGATTCAGTTTAGTATCAAAAGAGGGTTGTCGGGTTGAAACTCAAATATTTCCAAAACTCAACTGCCCTGCGAACCCCTCCTTAAAGTTGTTGTACTTTTTCTTCGTTTTCCAACATTCAATAAAAAACTATGTTATAAGTTTGAAGCCCACAAATATAAGCATTCTTTCAGGTTAATGAAACAAATGACGGTATAAACCCAACGGCAGTTCTCTCCAAATATCTAATAAAATATTGAATACTCAATTCCGTTTGTTGTACCTCAGACTTGTCAAATATTAGATATTTTTCCAAGAGCTTTGAGTTTTCCTTACAGAATCCAGACAGCTATAGCTAAAAGTGTAAGATTAGCGATGCCAAATATCACAAAGTAAATGTCACACGATCTTAAAACATACATTTCGCTACTTTCATATTATTTAAATGAATAACAGGATGATTTTGAATATTGTCCTCTATGCATAGTTCATGCCTTTAGGAAAAAATACCAGATTCGTTGTTGTTATTGAATTGGCAAGCGGACTGTTATAATTTCGCGGTAGCTTCCACACCGCCACTATCCAGGCTACAGAACGAGTTCGGTATAAATGGAACACTGAATCCGGCATTATGCCCGGCTCAGCGTCACTCATATTGTGCTCTGTCTCCAAGAATTCATTTACAGCGTTGTGCGCGTAATCTCCACGGCTGCTGTAAAGCGAATATGCAATGTCGGCATCTTCGTTACCGCCGTTGGCACAGTTACCACCGTGTCGCATAGCTACAAAAAATGTAGGGTAGACGCAACATTCAAATACAGGAAACATTTTTTTCTGATACATACGAGGCTTGTCGAACTGAAAGCCATCTTTGGTCACGTTAGCCTTAGAAGCAATTTTAATCACTTAGCTGACGTTTTGCAATATTGGTTGTGTTTGCAAACGTCTCACTGATCTTCTTTCACTTGTATTTGTCTGCGATTTTAAGTATTGTGACCCAAAAATTCAATTTTTCTGTGATGAAAGTTTGCAATCATTGCAAATTCATACGCGACTGCAGGCAATGTATGAAAGCGCATGTCTTGCGTATCCAACTGTCAAGGAATACTTTACAAATTTTAAGAGTGGAAGAGGGGAGACAAATGATAACCTGGGCCCAGGTTCCGCATGAACAGACAGCAATATGGCACGTACGGAAGGCATGCTTAGAGAAAATTGTCGAATTTCGATCAGAGGAATTAAAGAAAATGTTGATGTGAGTATAGGATCTGTCCATAGTATCGTACACAATTTGGGCTACAGCAAAATTTGTGCGCAATGGGTTCCTCGCCATTTGTCAGAGGACCAAAAAAGCTTGCGAATGGGCTTATCTTTGCAACATCTGACGGAATACAAGCAACACGGCAATTACTTTCTTTTGTCAATAATTGGTGGCGACAAACCTTGCTATTATTTTGAACCATCCAGTAAGCTGTCATCGATGCGATGGAAACACGCAAATTCTCCGCCACCAAAGAAGTTTAAGGTTCAACCCTTTGCAGGCAAGGCAATATTTCTTCTCATCAATGAAGAACCCTTGTTCATAGGGCTTAAATAACCTAGAGTGCATATCAACGCAAAGCTGTATAATGAAACGTTGGACAATCTCCATCAAGCAATAAGACCAAAGCGTCCAGGAGAGCTCTCATATCATGTCATTCTTCTGCACGACAATGCCCGGTCTCATGTTGTCAGAGTAGTGAAAAGAAATCTACAACGAACAAAATGTACGATATTAGAGCATTTACACTATAATCCCGATATATCGCCTTGCAATTTACACATCTTTTGGCCACTGAAAATGCGTTAAACTGTAAGTATTTTCAGTTGCATTAAGAAGTACAAAATGCCGTGAAAGAATTATTCAAGCAGCAGCTATAATAATTCTTTAAGCAGGGTATACATCTATTGGTGAAACAATGTGATATGTTTCTTAATTGTGGCGGTAATCATTTGCAGATATATTTGCCAATATTTTGTTCTGGACTAAAGACAGGTTTCATTTGAACGAGCCTCGTATTTGAAAAGAAAAACTTTAGATGTATAAGTGTAGATTCATGTTTAAATAGAACATCAGGTAAGGTACCTCAACACATTACAGTTCATGGGTAGGCACCATATTCCATTTTGAAGAGCTACTAATTTCTATATACCGACACAGACTCACTAATATAAATATGAATTGCTACGACTAACAACTAGAACATCTTTATCATTTTCACCTCATATGCACTGGGGGATATCAAGACGCATCTGTCATATGCCGCATCTGAATTCAGTGCTCCAAATTACCATCCGTCATTCAATTGTAATGATGGGGGTTAAGCTTTCATTGCTAAAAAATAAATATGCATATAAAAAATTTATTTAAACTACGTCCCTTGAAATGCTTCATCATTCCCTCACCCATTATAAATATTCGATTTGTGGTCACACTATTTGATATTTTTGAACGCAGCTATTATGTTTTTAAAAATTGTCAATACTGCTTATACGCTCAACATGATTTCTTAATAGTGAAAAGTGTTGCTGCAAAAAAGTATTGGATCTCAATAATTAGAACATTACATTTCTCTGTGTCATTACCTCACTGTTTATATTATACTTTCGAATGTTTTAATTATTTTTTTCTTGCTTTGAGTTTTAAAATGCATTCACAAAATGCTAAATCAATTTGAGGTGATGTACTGTTGGTTACGGTGTCGTCCATTGCCTTACGGTCATTCCCTCACTAGATTAGAAAGTGAGGCAATGAAAATTATACGAGGGAATGATTTTTGCATATATAAAATTTTGGTTTGGGTGTTATTGTTTAACTCCAGGTTGTATAGCATGTGTTTTGAATTGTCGTTAAGTGAAGAAGAAAAGAAATTGAAAAAGAATGATTACGACAGAAAGAAGCGAGAACAGATGAAAATTAATGCTGAGTCTTTAGAGGATTTGCGTGAAAAAGAAAGATTAAAGTATTTAAAGAAGAAGTCAAGTTGAGTCAATAAGTTCTATAAATGAATAATAATGTTTTCAGAGAAAAACGAGATGAATTCTAAACAATTTTACAGAGAACAATTGAAGAAACAACTCCACCACGTCCTGCACCAACTCTACAGCACAGAGCAGAGAATTTATCTGATCTCAATAGATGTAGAATGCGCAAGCGGCGAACTATTAAGCACTTGAACATTAAAAGTTTGGAAAATAAAATAAGGAACGCAGTCAAGCTTAGCGAAAAATATAACAAGAGGACTTTGAGATTGAAAACTGAAAATACTGACCCAAACCCTCCAGCAACTAAGTGTCTTTGTTTTTAAAGAATATACAAGTTCCTGACGTTGAAATGCGGAGAAGAACTATCAACGGACCTAAAGGATATCTATGAAGGTCTTGGAAGTAAACATGGAGAAAAGAAAAAATATTACAAAATCTTGAAGCTGCAATGAATACAAAAGATATAAATTGCTATATAAATCGAAACATTTTTCAAAAGCGATACGTATAAAAAGAACTGTACTCGTAAATTTAGCTCCAAAATGCTGAAAGTTAAGGGTGATGTTGTTCATTTCTTAGAGAAGGGTGAAAATACGAGGATGTGCCCAGCGCAGAATGACTATCTAAGCTCACTAAGGTATAAAACAAACCTCAATACATATATTGTTGTTAAAATCATTCCCCCATCCTATCAGTCATTTCCTCATTTCATAAATTTTAAAAAGTCATTTTTCTACATGTTATACACAAAAATAAGGAGGACCTTCATTTACAATGAATCTCACTAAAGTAAAACTTTATACTTAGGCAAAAAAAGGATATATCTACATTATTTTTTTTAAAGAAATGCAAAATAAAATTTCTAAATTTGTTGATAAATACCCATTTATCGATACCAAATGAAAGCGCACCCAACGAACAAGCTTATTCTGAGACAAAATCTCCGATACCAGACGAAGAAAGTTAACCTCTGCAAGGGCAGAAGCTTTATTATTCTTAAATCCACTAAATAAAATTTCGGATACTAAATAATTTTTTAATTACACTGTTTTAGATAGGTTCTGTTTTTATTGTATTCTCCATGCTTGGTTTTTTTTCGGCTGAAAGACAGAAATTGGGCATTAAGCTGGTTTCATTAGTATACGATAGCAAAGAAATATTCAACGAACTGGATTTTACTTTAACGCAAGTAAGACGATTATGAACTTTCATTTAATATATTTTTAATTCATATAAAATGTAGATATTTGAGTTACTTCATATCAGTCGGCCTGTATCGGCATTTTGGCAGTCATGCGAACCGATATGCCTATGAAAGCACTATATTGGTATCGGTCGACCTCTAATTTGTGCCCCTTGCAATTTCTACTCATCACGTTATGAGACTCAGGGAGAAGTACAAATGCTCGTATGTGTTCCAGTTTGTGCTTTTTGAAAGAATTGAGCTCCTCGTCGTCAGAGTTGTGAGGTTTCCCACTGATGCTCGAACATTACCATCAACTTTCATGAGGCTGTCTGCGTGTTTTTACGACGATGCTGGGAGTGCTTTTTATTTCTCTCTATTTTTTTAATCAACGAAAATGGAAGATCAACGTGCGGCAAAGGAAATGCCTCCCCTAGATGAAAGGCTTTTATTTGACTGGATGGGTCAGACTGATATGAAATGCGGACGGCTTAAATGCTAAAGCTGTTCATACATTCCAGACTAACCAACAGACTCAACTATGACCAACATGACCTGTTTATTTGTCTATACATGGTTATTCGGAATTGATACACAGGAAACAATCCTAGATTACATTCGTTAATGAGACTCAGTATGTATTTATGGAAAATATTATTTCCTATAGCTGAATCTCATGTTCTGTTCTTCGCTACCGATTAATTTTTTCTTATTGTTACAAAGCCTTCCACATTTTTTCTAATTGTTCAAATCCTTTCGGGGGTATTTGCATCTCAATATTCTATGACATAATCATAAAGCAGTCTGTTAGGAGTGGAATATTATGAAAAAAACCTATATAGTGTCAAAAAACATAGAATGTCAACTTGTTGACTAAGTAGGTTAGTGTGCAAGTAGTTCATTCCACGCTTGCTAAAAGTCAGGATGAAGTGAGCGACAGCTAGTTCCAAGTTGATGACATGTAGACAAACCTACATATCATGTAAAAAACCTATAAAACGTCAAAAAAACCTATAATATGTCAACTTGTAGACTAGACAGTTTTTAGGGCGCAAACAGTAATAGTCATTCCACGTTTGCTTACTAGGATCGTTGTGAACGTCCATCTCTGATGGAATCACTCAACTAAACTACACGCATTATTGGTTGCATATCTTTTGTGAGGCCGAGTGGTCTATGTCTGTAGTTTTTATCTCTGAAATGAAAGTTGGTTGAAAAGCAAGATCGCATCTGGATGATTATGTCCATTGTTCTGCATGTGTATAAAATCAGTGATATTTGCTCTGTTTACTTAGTATCTTTATTTAATATCTTCAAGCTAAGCAACACAATATGAATAATGTTATTATCTAAAACTAACACTATTTTCTACATAAACTCTCAATTGTCTTTTGAATTTGGCAAAATTTATAGATTTGATTTCAGCTGGTAAATTATTAAAATCTATAAGGCCTTTATGAAATAAACCATTTTGCGCGAATGCAGACCCCACAGCAGGAACATAAAAATCAAACCTATTATAACTATGAATATCACAGACAAATTGCAAACCTCCCAATATGTGTTAGGGATACA